TCGGCTCATTCTCTTGTCCTGGCCCAGAGCTGGCCAGGGAGTCACCATGGCACTGTGGAACTTATCCTCCGGTTCTTCTGCTCTTTGGATCCTGCTCCGGGAGTGATGTTGCGAAGTCTAGATCCAGGGGTGTCTCCTTGTTCCCTTACATAGTTTGTTAACGAGTCCAGATGATAGATATGACGTTGCTAGTTCCCCCTCTAGAGAGTACCTTGTCGAGGCCAATGCCATCGGCCCTAGTGACCCACTCCACAGTGCATCCATGGGTTACAGATGTGCAGGACCTGCTGTGCCCTGTCTGCGTTGGTGCGTTCCCGAAAAAACTCAGCCCGCCGCCGCGCCCCTTGTCCTGTGCACCAGAGTGTCGTGAAACGACTCCACACGATGCTGTGCGTTCCTGCCTTGGCGTGAGCTCTTTGGCTAGGGCACAGGTGCGTGTGCCTCGGTATCCCCAGGTCTGTGTGGTCAGGGTCAGGTGCAGTTTGGATGCTGAATAGACATGTTTGCTCTGCTGCTATCAGGATAGGAAAGGCTCTCAGAAAGCATCGGGAGAGATATGAAACGCACGTGACCCTCACAGGGAGGCGACGATTTGTGCTGCAGTGACAGCATTTCAGCCCAGAGGAGTGCGCCAGTTTATGGGAGGAAGTAAAGGGTCCTGCATCTCGTGCTCTCACATCGCCACTCGGCCAGAGCGCGTAGCTGAGAAACACAAAGCCTAGAGAATTTTCTCGGTGCTTAACGACGATGCCTCGTAGACTGCCACCTTTCTTCAGGTCTTACGCCGCTCGTCGTCGCTCCCCTGCATGATATAGTTCTAGTTCCCCCTCTCGCCGCCGTGCCCCCCCATCCCGACGTTGACTGTTCTCGCTCTCTCGTATAGAATCAGAACCTGCTGCTCAGGTCCTTGATTCCCTCATTCTCCCCTCGGGACTGCCAGCCCCAGGGGAGAAATTCCTCTTCTCTGTGTGGCCCCTGCCTGCCTCAGTACCAGGTGCAAGGGGTGCAGATTGCTCATGACAGTAGAAACATGACTATTTGGAAGAAGAGGAGGCAGGTATACTTGAGGCTGCCTGCACACGTCTCTGTGATTTTGGGGGTAATACCAGGGCTTGGGACCGAAGATGCGGGTCACAGGACTTAGGGACTGGCTCTTACTGGTGCCCGCTGTGGATGCAGGGCCATTGTGCAGTGGTGGCTGCTGCACTAATGTCACGCTTAGAGACAAAAGAACAGGAACCCAACAATTGTTTATCCAGACCCACTCTGGTCTGGGACATGGTTCGTGCTGGGAATTCGGCAGGAAGAAGACACTGCCTTCTTGAAGTGAGTTGCTCATCACGTGGGTTCGGCTGTTCAGTAAACACTGGGTTTACAGACCCAACAGACAGTACTTGCCACCTTCCACCTGAGCACTGTCTTTTATATTCACTGAAAACACCGGTGCCTGTGATTCCCAGGTCCTTTTCAGCCAGAATTGACCATGTGGCTCAGGCCTGCTCAATGGAATGTGAGAGTCAGTGGGTGAGGTGTTTCTTAGGAAAGTTTGGTAAAGAAAAGAAACCCATTGGATTCATGAGGCCCTTTTCCTCTTGGCTATAGGTGTGATAGCTGGAGCTGGAGCAGCTAGGTCTTCCATCAGCAAGGATGAAAACATCACCAACGTAACAGGGATGGTGGAATAGAGAATGAGAAAGACCCGGTATTTTCATGTAATTGGCGGGTATTGTTTCAGGGAGAAATACGCCCTTAGCTATTTGTGCCTCAGTTTTTCATATATGTGCCTTTGTGGTATAAACACATTCCTGATCAAGTAGAAAACTAATGAACACAAGTCAATCAATTAATAAAATAATGACAGGCAAACAATCCTACAGTTGTAAACACTATGCAGACAACGAAAAAGGAATTAGGCAGAAAATGACAGGCTGTCTGTATTATAATAAGAGCCTGGAGACACCTAAATTGCCAGGTGTCTCTGGAACTGCTATCAGGACTGACAGAAGAAACGAGTCCCGGAAGCTGTGGGGGGAATGACAGAGTCGGACTCCTGTGGGAAGGCTCTGGTGTGTGTGAGGATCCCAGAGTACTCGGCAAACCTGAAAGGGGTCCCAGATTCAAGTCAGTTTAAGCTCTTTTAGCTATTTTAATAAATGAGTAATTTGGGGCAGGAGTCATGTGTAGTTATGTGTGATGAGGGGAAATTTCCAGGTAATTAGGCAGGTTCTTTGGTGGTTGCTTAGCGCATAAAGAAAATTCTAAGACAATGCTGCTAGGACAGGGACAGGGGAGGCCCTGGTGGGTTAAGCCCAGCCTGCTGATCCCTCCCTAGTTCACTTGGGGCTGAAGATCCTCAGGGGATTGGCTCCTGGTTCCTTCAGTCTACCCGGTGCCCACCATGCAGCTCTGTGGGGACCCACACTGCTGCCTGTGCCTCTAGTCCTCGGTCCGCTGTCTGGGATTCCATGTGGGTGAGCAGCACTGCTTTCCTTGAAATTCTACAGATCTAGGACCTGGGAGCACAGAATCTGCGAAGTGCACTTGACAGAGAAGGAAAGGAGCTGAGAGGGAAAGTGATAATCACATGGTCATTTGGGGAGGAGAGAAAAGGGAGGACCACAGAGGCCCTGGACCTGTAACAATAACATCTCTTGGGTCCAGCCTGCTAGGGGAGGGAAAATCCTCAGCCCAAATTGTCAGGGTCCCTAAGGAGAGCCCTTCTCCCAGTCAGCTCTTTCAGCTGCCTGTAGGGGGCGCGCCTGCCACACTCTGGGTTGAAAGGGAGGGGAAAGACCCACACTCTGGGTTGAAAGGGAGGGTCACCAATGCAGGAGCCAAGCTCTCTAGAGACATTTTCCATCCTCTGAAACTGCCCGCTGGTCTCTGCAGAGGCTTAGATTTCAAGTGGCAAGATGTTAGGGTTTGAAATGAATATTTTGTGGAAACCACGATAAAAATAAAAATCTGGCACAAATTTTCTGTTGTTTGGACTGCAGGAGAAACAGGCAGAGTCAGTTGAAATGAAGGTCACGGTCATCACTCAGAGGGCGGCTGAGAGTGACATCAGGTTAAGGCTGAGGTTTCTGTCCCATGTCTCCATCTGTTCGTGTTACTGTGAGTCACTGCCAGCTGCTCCCACTGCCATAGCTTGTAGCACAGTAATAGTCGGCCTCATCCCCAGCCTCGACCCCGCTGATGGTCAGGGTGGCCGTGTTCCCCGAGTTGGAGCCAGAGAATCGCTCAGGGATCCCTGAGGGCCGGTTGCTATTTTTATAGATGACCAGTACAGGGGCCTGGCCTGGCTTCTGCTGGTACCAGTAAGCATATGCATTCCCCAATTTATCTCCAGAGCAGGTGATGCTGGCTGTCTGTCCTGGGGGCACCGACACTGAGGGTGGCTGAGTCAGCTCATAGGAGGCCACAGAGCCTGCAAGAAGAGAAAAGACAGGTGGGCTTGAGAACGAAAAGCCAAGTTCTAAGACATTTCCTTACCTTTTGTACCTGGAATCAAGTCCAGATACTCTGTGGGCCCACAGTTCACTCCATCCCATTGATCTCAGCCCCCATGGTTCATGTGCATGTAAGGATGAGGACTTTGAACAAATGGGAAAATGGAAGACAGAATTCCCCAGAGCTCTGCATGGCCAGGCCAGCTCAGGAGTAAGGAGAGGATGTCCCAGTCTACAGGGAAATTCTGCTTGCATTCCCCCTTGCTCATGGCAGGTGCAGACTATCAGGCATACCCAAGCCAGTGAGGATAGTGTGTGAGGGGGTGGATTTCAGCCCCACCAGCCCCTCGCCCTGCAGCAGGACAGGCAGGACCCTCCTGAGCTCAGAGTTAGGGCCAGGCTGGACCCAGAACCCTGGGGTTGGGTAGGTGGCAGGGACCCTAGGAGCAGCACCTGTGCAGTGAGCGAGGAGGCTGAGGAGGAGAGGCGTCCAGGCCATGGCTGACATGTCCCAGATGCTGCTTCTGAAGCCAAGCTGGGCAGGTTCCTCTCAGGCCTCTCTTATCCCCTTGCTGGAGAGAGCAGCCCATTATGCAAATCAGCAGAGTCAGGGGCTGCTGCTGGAGGAGATTGGTGGTTTCCAGGAGGGCTCAGCACCAAGGAACACAGAGAGGTTGGGGTGGCTCAGTAATACCCACCCTCAGCCCATGGGATTCTCTTTCTCTTGCTGGCCGCATAGTCTGGGCTGATATCTCCGCTGTAGGCTATGGTGTCCTGGCCTCACTTCTGAGCTGGCCTGGCCATGCAGAGCTCTGAGGGGAATTCTGTGTGCGTTTTCCAGGGCATCTGATGTCATGCCCCTGTGGTCATTCCTTATCTTGCCTGGAGGTGGCCAGAGAGTCAAATAGCAACTGAAGGATTGTCCTGGGACCTCAGGTCCTCTCTCTGTTGGCACCTGGCTCAGGAGTAGTGTGGGTATTTAAGGACTCCAGGAAAGTGCTGTCCTTAAATGTTTTGTGGCAGAGTCTAGATGTTAGGTGTAGTTCTAGCTTCCCTTCTGGAGGGCACTTTTGAATGCAATGGAGTGACCCTGCCACCCCACTCTACAGGTGACACGACGCGGCAGGCACATGTACAGGGACCTGCCGTTGCTTCTCAGTGGTGGTTTGCAGGAGAAACTTCACCCGTGGCGTGTGCACATGGAGTGTTGCGCGATCCAGCAGATGCTGTAAGTTTCTGGCCTTGGCTGTGAGTTCTCGGGGCGGGGACAGGTGCTGTACAGCTTCGGTGCTGAAAGAAATCTTTGCCGTCTAGCAGCATGAGGGGGCTCTGAGAGGAAATAGGAGGGAGGTGAAAGACACAAAACGAAAGGTGAGCTCCATGGCAGTGACAGCATTTAGCACAGAAGAGTGGCCCAATGCGTGTGGGGGGCGGCAAAGTATCTACACCTGTGTCATGTATGCGACATCGACAAGAGATGGAGCTGAGAAACACAAGGTTTGGAGAATTTGTACCTTATTGGAAAAAATGCTATCTTTCCCTCTGTGTGTCAGCTGATGGTCACTGACCCTCCCTGCCTGTCAGCATCTCCTTGTCACGCGGGCCTACCCCAACCCCAGGTGGCTTTGCCCGGTGACTCTCTGCCTCACCCTTGTGGCTGCTCCGCATTGGCAGCTGGAGGCTCAGGGGCCTCCTTGGTCCAGGTGTGGATTCAGAACCAGCTGCTCAGGCCCCCGGTTCCGTGATCTGTGGACTGCTGACCCCAGGGGAGGAATTCCCCTTCGCTGTGTCACTCTTGACTGTCTGAAGACCAGGTACAAGGGTCTCACCTTACCCATGATAATATGAACATGACTGTTTAACCGAGGAGGAGGCAGGTCCACCTGTGGTTGCCTGCACATGTCTCTGGGTGATGGGTGATTATGGAGGAAATACAAGGCTTGGGATGGAAGATGTGAGTCACAGGACTTAGGGATTGGCTTTTACTGGTGCCGGCTGTGGATGCCGGGCCAACGTGCTGTGGTGGCTGCTGCATCAGTGTCAGAGACAGAACAGCATGAACCACAACAAATGTTTATCCAGACCCACTCTGGTCTGGGGTACGTTGCATGCTGGGAACTCAGCAGGAACAAGACACACCGTTCTTGAAGTGAGTTGCTCATCATGTTGGCTCCACCGTACAGTAAACACAGGGTTTACAGACCCAGCAGATAGTCCCTGCCACCTTCCACCTCAGCATTGTCCTGTATATTCACTGAAAACACCGGTGCCTGTGATTCCCAGGTCCTTTTTAGCTGGAATTGACCTTGTGGCCAAGGACTGGTCAAATGGGTTGTGAGATTCAGTGGGTAGGGTGGTTCTTAGGAAGTTTTTGTTGTGAAGGGGAGGAACACAACAGATTTGTGTGGCCCTTTTCCTCTTGAATACAGGTGTGATAGCTGGAGCTGCAGCAGCCACCCTGAGGTCTTACAACAGCAAGGATAACAAGACAGCCGACATTATAGGGATAGTGGAATAGGAAGAGACCCCAGTGTGTTCACGGTAGTGATGCGTGTTATTGCAGAAGGAAATGTGCCTCTAGCTGTTTGTGCCCATTTTTCATGTGTGTGTTCTTGTGGTTTAAAAGCATTTTTGACAATTAGGAAAATAACACAAATTACTTTCTTAACACAATTAAGAAAATAACAGTAGGCAAAGAACTCTATAGTTGTAAATGTTTTGCTGATAATTAAAAAGTTTTAGGCAGAAAATGACAAGCAGGCCATATTAGAATACGAGCTTGGGGATACTTTCACTGGGAGGTGTCTGTGAAGCTGCTGTCAGGTTTGAAAGTAGGAGTGAGTTCCCGGAGCTGTGTGGGAAACGGGGGAGTCACGGCCCTGTGGGAAGTGTCTGGTGCGTGTGAGGATCTGAAAGGGCAGTGGCAAATCTCAAAGAGGTTCCAGATTCAAGCCAGTGTAGGCTCACTGTGCTATTTTAACAAATGAGCAATTTGGGGGCGAGTCATATGTAGTCAGGTGTGGTGACAGGAAATTTCCAGGTAATTAATCAAGTTCTTTGGAGAATGCCTAGCACATATAGGGGCCTCCTGGATGATGCTGCTGGGCCAGAAACAGAGGAGGCTCAGGTGGATTCAGGCCAGCCCGTTGACGCCTTCTTAGTTCACCTGGGGCTGAAGACACTCTGGGGAGTGGTTCCTGGTTCCTCCCCTCCACCCAGTGCCCACCATGCAGCTCTGTGGGGACCTGCACTGCTGCCTGTGCCTCTGGCCCTAAGCCAGCTGTCTGGGATTCCATGTGGGTGACCAGCATTTCTTTCTCTGAAATTTATTTAGGACCAGGGAGCATGCAATCTGCAAAATGCACTTGACAGAGAAGGGAAGAGGCTGAGAGGGGGTGTGACAATCCCAAGGTCACTTGGGAAGGAGAGAGAAAAGGATCACGGAGGCCCTGGACTTGTAACGATAACATCTGGGTGTCTTGGGACCAGCCTGCCAGGGGAGGGCATGGGAAAATCCTCAGCCCGAATACTCAGGGTCCCTCCCTATGGAGACAGCATCTCCCTGTGGGCTCTTCCAGCTGCCTGTAGGGGGCGCGCCTGCCACACTCTGGGTTGAAAGGGATAGGAAAGCCTGTTGGTCCCCGGTGCAGGAACCAAGCCCTCTAGAGATATTTTCCACATCCTGAACCGGCAGGTTGGTCTCTGCAGAGGTTTGGATTTCACGTGGCAAGATGTTTGGGTTTGAAATGAATTCTTTGTGAAAACCATGATACAAATGGAAATTTGACAGGAGTCTCCTGTTGTTTGGGTTGCAGAAGAAATAGGTAGCCTCACTTGAGATGAAAGTCATGGTCACTGCTCAGGGAGCAGCCTGAGAGTGACAGCCAGGTTGGGAGAGAGGTTTCTGTCTCATGTCTTCATCTGTCTGTGTCACTGGGAGTCACTGTGAGCTGCTCCCACCGCCATGGTCTGCAGTACAGTGATAGTCAGCCTCATCCCCAGTCTCAACCCCGCTGATGGTCAATGTGGCCGTGCTCTCCAAATTGGAGCCAGAGAATCACTCAGTGATCCTTGAGGGTCAGTGGCTATCACTGTAGATGACAAGCTCAGCGACCTGGCCTGGCTTCTGCTAATACCAGAAAGTATATTTATTCCCCAGTTTATCTCCAGAGCAGGTGATCCTGGCTGTCTGTCCCAGGGACACTGACATTGAGGGCAGCTGAGTCAGCTCATAGGAGGCCACAGAAGCTACAAGAAGAGAAAATGGAAGAGAAAAGGCTTGAAACTGAGGAGCTGACCTCCAAGAAAATTTCCCACGTGCCTGGCCTGGACACAGCTCCAGGATGACAGAGCCCTTAGGGCAGTGTGAGCGCAGGAGAGCACAGTGTGGGGGGATTTCAGCCTCACCAGCTTCTCCCTCTGCAGCAGGGTCATGAACATCCTGCCCACCACAGGCAGGGCCCTGCTGAGCTCGGAGTCAGGGCCAGGCTGGACCCAGAGCCCCGGGGCTTGGCGGCTGGCTGGGACCCTGGAGGCAGCACCTGTGCAGTGAGCAAGGAGGCCAAGGAGGAGAGGGATCCAGGCCATGGTTGAGGCACCCTTGATGCTGCTTCCTGAGGCCCAGGCTGGGCAGGTTCCTCCAAGACCTCTCTTATCCCGTTAGTGGAGAGAGCAACCCATGATTTAAATCAGCAGAGTTGGGGGCTACTGCTGGAAGAGCTTTGTAGTTTCCAGAGAAGGGCTCAACCCCAAGGGACACAGAGAGAGGAGGGGTGGGCCCTGCAGACCCAGTCCCAGTGCAGAAAATTCTTCTCCTATTGATCCCATCATCTGGGCTGATGTCTCCACTGTAGACTGTGGGGTCCTGGCCTCACTCCTGAGCTGCCCTGGTCATGCAAAGCTCTGAGGGGAATTCTGTGTGCATCTTCCAGGCAATCAAATGTCCTGCATATGTGGTCATTCCTTGTCCTGTCTGGAGGTGGCCAGGGAGTCACAGTGGCAACTGTGGGGTTATTTTGGGACTTCAGGTCCTTTCTCTGTTGGATCCTGGCTCAGGAGTGATGTGGATAATTTAGGAATCCAGGGATGGGCTGTCCTTTCCTTAAACATTTTGTGGCAGTGTCCAGATTTAGGTGTAGTTGGAGCTCTCCCTCTGGAGGGCACTTTTCAGCCCAGTGCAGTGATCCTCGTGATATCCCACTCTGCAGGTGACACCCTGAGGCTTGCACATGTGCAGGGACCTGTTGTTGCTTCTGAGTGGTGGTTCCCAGAATCAGCGTCACCCTTCTCATGTTCACATGGAGTGTTGAAAGAGCCAGCAGATGCTGTAAGTTCCTGGCCTTGGCTGTGAGTTCCTGGAGCAGGGTACAGGTGCTGTGCCTCAGTACTCCCAGTGTGTGGTCAGGGTCAGGTACAGCTTCCGTGCTCAAAGAAATCTTTGCTGTCTAGCAGAGTGAGGAGGCTCTCAGAGCAAACAGGAGGGAGATGAAATAAATGTGCCCACAGGGAGGACAGCATTTGTGGCAGTGACAGCGTTTTAGCACAGAAGAGGGGGCCAGTGTGTGGCGGGGAAACAGTGTCTGGATCTATGTCAAATATGCAACATCGGCCAGAGACAAAACCGAGAAACACGTGGAGAATTTGTACCTCAGTGTTAAGGACAGTGCTGTAGATGAACGCCGCCTTCCTTTCTAGGTCTCAGGTGGTGCTCACTGACTCTCCCTGAGTATCAGCTTCCCCCTGTCACCCAGGTCCACCCCCATCTCCAGGTAGCTTTACCAGCTGACTCTGCATCCCCTGGTGGCTACTCTACACTGGCTACTGGAGACTCGGGGGCCTCCTGGGTCCAGGTGTAGAACCAGAACCTGCTGATCAGGTCCCTGACTCCCTGATCTGTGGACTACTGGCCACAGGGGCGGCATTCCTCTTTTCTGTGTGACCCAAGCCTGCCTCAACACCAGGTGCAAGGGGTGGGGTGCAGGTTACCCATGAGAATATGAACATGAGAATTTGGAGGAGAAGGCAGGTCGACCTGAGGCTGCCTGCACATAACTCTGAGTTGTGGGTGGCCATGGGGGTGATACTAGGGCTCAGCACAGGGGAGTGGGCTCACAGAATTCAAGGACAGCCTCTTTTTGCTGACCGCTTTAGGTACAGAGCCAACAGTCAGTGGTGGCTGCTGTTCCAATGTAAGAGACAGAAAAACATGCACCCAACAAATGTTTATCG